CCGGGAAAGGCGGCTGCGGAGCCAAGCGCCCTCTCCCGCCGGCCGGGCCCAGCTGGAGCCCCGAGCGGGAGCGCCGCCAGCTCCGGGGCTCCGGGCCTCTCCCAAGGAGGAATCTCCAGGAAGAGGGCCTTGCTCCGGCAGGGAGAGCGAGCGAGTGCTGCACAGCGCAGCGGCCGCGCCGGCACCCGCTCCGCAGCCCGCGCGGCGCCCACCCGGACACAGCCGCCCGAGTGCCCGGGATCAGCCTGCTCCGTCCCCCGGGAAGGGCCTGGCCTCACGTACGAGGACCCGGTTCACACCACGACAGCGGCGCGGAGGCCCGGCCGTACCTGAATGCCCGCGTGGCTGCACAGGTAGAAGTCGAACTCAAAGGGGTGGGTGATATTTGTATCCACTGTTGTTCCCGCCGGGATGTTCCCACTCTTCCCGATCTGCAGGGAATAGAGAGTGTCAAGCACAGCAACGTGTGGTTATGCGCAGGTCGGGAGCGCGGCGCAGGGCTTGTGTGCCAGCGCGGAGCAGCAGCACCTCGTCCTGGTCACGCTCTGCCCATCAGGCACCTCCTGCAGCACCGACACAGACAGGACACACAGAGAGTGGAGCAGAAACGAGGGGGAAGCGGGCAAAGCTGCAGCGACCTCCACGGAGAGCTCATGGGAGAGTCTCGCCATGAGACACCAGCGCTCTTGCGCCAAGATCAAAAACTGCTCTCGCTACCCACACCAGTAGAGCTGAGTCTGCTAAGTTTAGATCAAAACTCAATTTCTCAATTTGGAGCAAGTCTAGCAAAAGTGAGAGCAATCGGTGAGCTCCTTGGTGCCTCTGCTGCACAAGCAGCTCTCTCCTCCCAAGCCCACAACTGCTCCATTCGCATCCTCGGCACCATCCACCCGGCGGGGCAGGAGCGCCCCTTGCAAGCCCCGTTTCTGGCACGTCTGCGCACGCCAACAGCTCCCGAGCGCGCGAGGACCCAGCACCAGCAGCTCCCAGCGGAACCACAGAGGGTCCCAAGCTGGGAGAGGCGATTTCGAGGCACCACCATCACCTGCACCCGCTAACTCCTAACAGCAGCCACCAGCTGCCTGGATGTCTGCAGGGACGGGACGGATGGCAGCGAGCTCCGGGTGCTCCCCGCGGCGCCGCTCCGGCCCCGGCGCTGCCGGCGCGCTCACCCGCTCGTTCTTGTCGGCGCAGAAGAGGCGGGTGTGATGCCTCTTCTGGACAACGATGTACGTGATGCCGGGCTGGTAATCCTTTTCCAGTTTGATGCAGGCGTCTCGGATTGCCAGGAGCTCGTAGTGAAGGATCTGGGGACAGAAGCTCTTGGTGAGCTGGTGCAGGGGGCAGCTCCCCCAGCCCAGCTGCTGGAAAGGCTGCCCCAGCAGCACAGGATCCCCCCACACACCCATGGAGGAAGAGCAGAGCAAAGCACTGCTGTGCGGAGCAACCCGGGGGCCTCCGGCTCGCAAACCTTTGGGCCTCCTCCCACCCCCAGAATGAGCCCAGCGCCTCCAGCGCGCAAAAACCTCTTGGCAAAGCCAGGCACCTCGAGCAGCACAAAGCAGAGGAGCAAAACGAAGCGCCCCGGCCGCGGGCAGCTCCGCTCGGCCGCGCGCCAGCTCTGCCAGCTGAGCACGGTGCCGGGGGCGCCCCACCTGCGGGAGCTGCCCCTCAGGAACGCCATCGCGGTAGAAGATGATCCTGGTGGGTTTGAAGCGGGTGGACTTGTAGAACTGGATGAGCAGCTCCCTCACCATGTAGGACAGGTCCTCGATGATCTCCTGGCGCGGCCGCTGCACGCGCACCGTGGCGCAGTAGCGGCTGGGGGGGG